CGGCTCCTAAAGGACTACAATTTCATGTCAGGTCTGGTATTCCATTCGCAGATCGTGACTTCCATTCCCGCTGGAATGGCGTCCTTAACAAAAATGCATGTCGATTAAATGAGGTCCTAATTGGCAACAGCCGTAAACTGTAAACTCCTCAAAGACATCGACAACCAAATTCACTTTAGGACTAGAAGGCTAAAAAGAGACCTTCAAAACAAACTCAAGATTATTGCCAAGGATTGCCTTAAGCTTTCCAAGGAACTTTCCCTGAGGAGACAACACAAATTTGGTCGAGACAATATCACTTCAATACAAGTGATCCAACCTTCGCACAATGTTTGGCTTTCACGTAAACCTAGAAGGTTCATTTGGCGCTTTAGTGATAGTCCACGAATTCAGTTGTTCAAATTAACTGTCAGCTTTCCGAAGGAGAAACCAAACTTCTATCCCGAGGACTCAAATTTTGCCCAAAACCGAGGCAGGCTGACGCACAACAACTATCTTTGGATCTGGAAGCTTTCTTCCGACGTTTAAGATGCCGTGAATTTTTCGCCGATTCCGACGGCAACAACACGGATAACACGGGTAATGTTACCAAATTCAAACCTAAAAGTACCTGGAATCCCCCTAAGAATCGTTGCCCAGCTTTAGAAACTTTCATTCAGGCCATTGAGGAGGACGTTAAAAACCACACTTCTAGTCCAGATTTCCGCGACAATCTCACAAAAAATGAGAGGCAGGCCATCGCCAATTTGCGTCAGCATGATGATATTATCATCAAACCAGCTGATAAAGGCTCTGCCACTGTCGTAATGGACATTAAATACTATGAAGAGGAGTCCTTAAGACAACTAAACAATCCTCTTCACTATCGGAAGCTCACAGAGGACCCCACTCCGGAAAATTCTAAGGAAGTGGAAAAATCTGTATTAAAGATGGTTAAAAAAGGTTCCATCGACCCCAAAATTGGACCCCATCTCATCCAGGTCGATCCGGCACCAGGACGTTTCTATGTCCTACCCAAAATCCACAAAGCAGGCCATCCAGGCAGACCCATTATTTCGGGCAACGGTACCTGCTACAGAAAAAATCTCTGAATATGTGGATGATTCATTGAGACCATATGTTGTTGCTCTCCCCTCGTACATTCAGGACTCCACGGACTTTATCCGCAAAATTAACCAAATTTCAAATTTAATACTGTTCTGGCTACACTTGATGTTTCGTCATTATATACTAATATCCCTCATGAAGAAGGTGTTAATGCGTGCATTTCAAATTATAAGCAAATTCGGGGCAAAACCCCATCTAAATCACATCTCCGTGAACTTATCATGCTGATTCTGACCAATAATAACTCTGTTTTCGGCGACGGTCATTACCTTCAAATTCATGGCACATCGATGGGCACCAAAATGGCTCCATCTTTTGCTAACTTATTTATGGGACAATTTGAGGCCAATTTCCTGTCCCTACAGCCTAAGAAACCAGATGTTTGGTTTCGTACATTGATGATATCTTCTTGATCTGGACCCATGGTGAAGATAGTTTGGATACGTTCCTATTGAACATTAATTCGGCTCATCCCACAATCAAATTCACTGCTAACAAATCCACAAGCAGTGTAGATTTTTTGGACATCACCGTGACCATGGAAAATGGTACACTTAAAACCTGTCTCTTATACACATCTAGATGTGTATAAGAGACAGGACACAACACAGATCAGCTATCAGAACATCTAAGCTTGATCAACCAGTAGCCGAACATTTCAATTTAGCTGGTCATTCAATTTCAAATTTCAGAGTGATTGCAATTGACCATAATGCCAGTTGGAGCGACAAAAATCGCAAAGATAAAGAGGATCAATGGGAACTTTTACTTAAAACAACCACACCATTTGGACTCAATATTAGGAACTTTCTCCCAGTACACTTAATTAAAACAATGGCATTTCAATTTATTCTGGATAAATCATTTGGCTTATTTATTGAGGCTTGCCTCTAAAGTTTAGTTTTGGCCTTCCTGTTTACTTGTTTAGACTGTTTATTCTAATCTCACCCAGCCTATTGTTTCCAATCATGCTTGCATAAAATTCTCACTTTATACCATCTAGCTTTTTCTACCCTCACTCACTCGCCACTGAGCAAGGACTAGTGTTGTCCGAAAGCTCTGGTTCTATTTCTGGCTGTTTACTTACGTTTACATTTTAGCTGTTGCTTATCATTTTTGTATCTCTACTGAGATCCAGCCATTGTTTCCCACAACAATGTTTAAAAATTGCTGTAATTGTTTTCTGGTTCAAGTAATGTTGATTTGAATTGAATATAATTGAATCGGATTTTCTGCCAATGTGTCCTCTTGGCACCCCCTGACAATTTTCAGATTTGTAATTGTTGTGCCGAGTGTGTAATAAATAAATAAATTTGTATACCAGTATAATTACTGCATCAGATTACCTGTAGTAGAATAACTGCATACAACTCCCGCTAAATGACTACACGTGGTCGATGCGTTTAAAGGCGTTACAATGCAATGATCCGGGGATGGACATTTTACTGTAGCATTAACTGATATATTTGAGCGTGGAATATAATCGGTATACGCTAACTCGGTTACGCCAAAATCAAGACTTGTACAGACGGCCACAGCTTCAAGACAAGTCCAGGCATCCCCACATACATAACTCCAGTTACCATCAAGCATCACTTCAACCAAACCAGTATGCGATGCATTTAGACGTACGTCTATTAATAATAAAATATTATCTATTTAAATTTTATCAATTTATATTATCTTCTGATTGGTGCGTATATATATTTTAAAATATATATATTAGACCACGGAGACTTATAACGTACTGTATATGTGCAGATTTAATCCCAGGCATTTTCTGTCATACAACTGACTAAATGCACACACATAGTGGAGTTATAGATAAGTTAGAAATGCTTATAAGTCGCAGCTTGGAAATCATAGTAAATAATATTTAAATAAGGTATGCAGCGTAGCACTGTGAACACAATATAAACAAATAGATAAAAAAATAATAGTGCTCAAGTAGGAATATGAATGCTATAATCATATTAAGCATAGCCCTACAACGACAAGTTCCTTTTTAATTCAGTTGTATGAAAAAATGTGTCTCTGGTGGGATTCGAACCTGCAACTCTTGCTTTTAGGATGTCATATCCATTAGACTAAGGAGACCAGGATATACTTGCAGATTTAACGTCCAGTCACTTTCTCTCATACAACTGACTAAGATGCTGAAAGATAGATACACTAGAAAAGCTTATAGGTCGCAGAAATAAAGTATAAAAACTGAAACAACTTGCCAAAGAACAACCAGCATGGAAACAACTTGTGCAATATACGGAGCAACCAAGCGGAAATGTTGGCAGAATACTTGGGGTAATAAAGTATTGACTTACTTGCATCTATGATGTTTTCTGCAGACGTTGAAGTAACACCAGCTAAGAGTACTGTGAAATTAATTGAACATAATTCAAATACAATAGTTTTCGTCCTAAATTAAGATTCATATGCCTATAGATATTGTTACTAAAATAAGATATTAAATACTATGCATGTTATGGTTACTAACTATATCTCATGTATTTGGTTTGTACAGTTTTTCGTAAATATTGGTTAAAACGAGGTCAATTTACAAGCAAAGCTACAATTCCTACACCAGTCACACAGTCAGTTTTCAGTGTGAGTCACTTGAAATTAGACGCGTACTGTACTGATATGTGAACAAAGCGTAAATCTGATTAAAACTTTGTTGTCGTGTTGCTATTTATACTTTTTCTTCAATGTAGCTATTAACCCTCTGTGTTAGCCAAACATATAGAAAGTACTAGTATTTAAATAAGTCATTGTCTGTCAGTTCAATGTTTGATAGAATATTTTATTTTAATTATAGATATTATTAGTATTATTAATTAATTTATTTATTTGTTAATAATATATTATTACCATCCCCATCAATATGTGGCCCTGCTCACCTGTAAATAAATTAATAATAAGTTGCATCATGTTGTCGGAGGAACATCATTTGACTGAAGAAACAAACCTTCCAATAGTCTAATAATAGAAGCATAACTCCTCTTGATAATAATAGAACATATTAATAATAAAGTAATAATATAGTAATAAAAAGAATGATGATGATGCTGATGATGATGATAAATGATTATTATGGAGAAGAAAATGATAAATAATCAAATAGTATACAAATACTAATGAATGTTTATGAGTGCAATGGGAAGAATATTTTCATGAGCTGAAAGATTGGACTGTTCCACTCAACGAGGCGGAGCCGAGTTGAATGGAACAGCCAATCTTTCAGCTCATGAAAATATCCTTTCCATAGACTGTACCATCGGTTCGCCTAGAGGCCTAGCTAGGCCTAGGTATAGCATGTCTGGCCTAGGGGCTAGGCCTATCCTTCACGCAAAACCTAGGCCTAGAAATCCGTCAGTGCATTTCGGAATATATTCCGCACAGATTTTGCACAAGTTTGAGCTAGTTTTTAAGACATCATCCACGCAATTAAAATACTTCACAGGAATCACAGTAAATCACCACAATGATATACACAGAACAATGATAATCTTTCACTGTTTTTGTTTTTATAATTAATCACCATAATTAAATGCCCAGCTACATCATAATATCAAATATGTTCTATTAGTTGCTAAAATATAGTAGACCTATTTAAAGTCACATTATTAAGATCGATCTAAACTTGATTTAAATGTATTAAAGATGTATTGTCCCTTGCTAATGTCAAAAAATCATAGAAAAATAATTTAAAAAAAACTTGCTCATATTGCAATAGCATACAAATTATTAACTTGTGCATAAAATTTGTTGAATTAAAAAAAATGTGTACCCTGATTTTTAAACCAAAAAATTAGAAATAAAAATAATAAATCACTTTCAGTGACTGGAAGTGTTTCTATCATTGTTCGCTGTAAACTGATGGGTAGACATTTTTTAAATACACTAATTTCTGTTCAAGTTGATAACTTTTATGTTTTATCTTCAAAATGGGCAAGTTAATTTCAAAAAATATGTTTATGATTGTTTTGGTATTTAGCAAGGGACAATACATCTTTATCGTGCACTGTAGTCGATCTATAGCAATAAGGGCCTGTTATGGAATCTTCAATGACAAATCCGGTGTTAAAAACCGGTGTTAAAAACCGGTGTTAAGACCCGGGGTGACAGCCCCCCCCCCCCCCCCCCCCCCCCCCGCTTGCCCCCCCCCCCCCCCGGGGAGAAAAACCACAATTCGTCGGGGAGAAAAAAAAATATTATATGTGTTTTGCACATTATTAGACTTTACAATCAATTAAATAAGCCTTTGAAATCCCTAAATTGTCAAATTTCCGGGGATTCGCCCCCTGCACTACTTTCGCAACATTTTAAGCGAAGCTCTACCACGCCCAATTTGCGCAAACCTATGAAAACTTTAATAAATACTTTTCTATCTAAAACTTCCTAAATTCGCCTCTGAATGTTATTGTTGCAGTACTTAAAACAATAAACCAATGTCGCTATCAGAACCATCTTCTTCATGATTCTCATATACAACCTACTCCAGAGGAACTTCGAGGAAGTCTCAGCAACACTTGCTTTAAATTGGAGGTGCCATTGGACCCGAAAGATGATATCGAGCATTTATGTGGCACTTCACATTAAAAAAAAAAAAATACAGCAGCGCCTATACAATTTATTTTATTTTATTCAATTCTTAACCAAAAAAGATAGGAAACCTCCACTAGGTTCGAACATTAAAGAACACATTATTGTGAAGACAATAAACTGTCTTAATAAAGTTTTAAAAGATAAACTTCATAAAAACATATATATTTCATCCGAACATGTTAAATTATTAAATGTAACTACTAATCATTTAAATAAACTCCATTATGTCAACTCGGCTAAAGGGGGACATAAGTGTTTAGTGCGAGTTCGACCCGGAGTACGAATAGAAGTAACGTTCAATGTACACGATTAAAATCATGCTTATGTACGGCCAGGCGATTTTTTTTTCAGCCAGATTTGAGGAATCTGGCCGTCAAAAAGGCCAAATGGCAACCCTGGTAACCACCGCTTGACAGTAAAAACGAAAAAAAAAAAAAAAAAAGATTATAAGGGCTAACGTCATTTCTGGATTTAACCTTTAACGTGCAATGGACGATTCGTATGGGGGAAAAATGCACGATGGAACAAAATTTCAACGGTGAGCGATGACATAAGCAAAATAACTAACGCCACGTGGAACGAAAGCAACCAATCAAATGACTGGAATCTATTTAGAAGTGTTATTTGCTGTCTGCCATGCTGGAATTTGACATCAAAATGTATGGAAATGGCTGCCATTTTGTTCACATTAAATTAATTCAAGGTAAAACGATACAATTACTGTATTATGTCTGAATCTTATATCTATTATCATATTATAGTAGGCAATAAGCATTTAATTATTAAAACCAAATATAGTGGTCTTAGCAACTGTTGCTATACATGTGAAAATTTAATTTCAATTAAATATTAAGAGATGGAACTTTTTAAGTTAATGTATAGTAGGCTTGAATATAAAACTCGAGACACAATGCATCGATGACAGTCGTTCAGGCGACTAATCCATTTCCGTTGTATAGGCCTATATCATGCATTATTTTGTGGTCTAAAATAGACTATTAAGTATGCTTACGGCTTGAAGAAATCATTATGTGGGCATATTAATATACTTCAACATTCGTTAGGTTGGTAGGGAAGTGCTTCTTAGAATTGGAACATTGTTTTCATTCCTGATGATGACATAATTAATGTCGAAATATTGAATCCCGACACGATGGCGTGCATTTCGATACTTGGAGTATGTTTTATTTTATTTCATTTTATTTTATTCCTTTCAGCCAGAACCACAAAAAACGAAATCAAAAAAAGAAAGAGGTATTACACTATCTTGTTTTGGATGTGTTCATACATGTTTAGGTCAATACATTTTCATAATCTTCTGTTGTGCGTTTATCATCTAATAGCGAGCATCTATATAACTTATTATAATATGGTATTTAAGTAGGGGTCTTAGCTATAACAACATAAATCAAGGTAGCCGTTAACACTGTTAAATCATATATAAATCATCAAAGAAAGGTAAATACAGTGTTCGAATAAAGGACTTAATAAATACATCGTGTAGCATAGCTCTCAACGAATGTAGTCCTGTAAATAAATGAATAAAGAAATTGTGTAATAAAATGCCTCTGGCGGGACTCGAACCTGCGAACTCTCGCTGT